CATACTCTACAGTGACTCCATGTCATTTCCTACAGTGAAGACACTATACACTATTAGCTGCTCTTCGCCTCAGCCAGTTACGGGAGTGGTAGAGTGTGAAGCAATCCCGTGAGCAGGAGGAGGAGGAAGCACGGTTCACTGGGAGGGGAGGAGGGGAGCTGGCCCAGGAACTCCAGAACCGAAGCTGGACTGCTGGAGCAGGGGGCTGAAATGAAGCGTGACTCCTGGTAGGAGCCCCGATGCTGGCCCGGAGGAAGCCGGTGCTGCCGGCGCTCACCATCAACCCCGCCATCGCCGAGGGCCCGTCCCCCACCAGCGAGGGCGCCTCCGAGTGAGTGGGCCGGGGCTGGAGGGGGAGACGGGTGGGGGGTCCCCGAGAGAGGATGGGGTGAGGAGGTCTTGAGTAGCAAGGTCGCGGGAGGGGGTCCGGTCTCCCTGAGTGGTGAGGTCGGTGGGGAGGGGGTCCCTGAGTAGTGAGTCGGAGTGAAGCGAGGACCCTACGGGAAAAAGATGGGGTGTTGGGCTCCTGAGTAGTGAGAGCGGAGTTAAGGAGGAGTCTCTGAGTCGTGAATTCGGGGTGATGGTTTTGGGGAGGGTTCCCGAGGTTTGAGGTTGGGTCAGGGGGTCTCTCGTAGTGAAATCAAATGCAGGGGACGTCTCTGAGTAGTGAGTTGGAGGGAGGGGACCCTTACATTCCCAGAACAGGGTGAATGGGGTCCCTGGGAACGAGGATGGGGTAAGGAAGTCCATACATGATCAGGAAAAGGAAGGGTACCTGAGCTGTGGGGCAGGGGCTCTCTGAGGGAATCCAGGGACAGTGGAGCCTGAATAGATCCTGCTAGTGGGGAGTGCAGCCCCTGAAGCTGGGGAGAGTGGTGAGGGGGCCCGGAGCAGGCTGGGGAAGCCAGGAGTGAGAAATTTTGGGGCGCAGGGTGTGGGGGGAAAAAATAAGAGCTATAGAGGAAAGAAGTGGGAGGCCTGCTGGGAACCCTGACAGCAGATGGCAGAGATTCTGAATCGGAGTGGACTAGCAAGCCTAGAAGAGTGCAGGTCGGTGTGAGGGTTTGAGGCGATTGAGGGGGACAGGAGGACTTGCGGGGACGGGGACAGAGAAAGGAGCATCGGAGTGATGGGGTTACTCAGTGGCAGAATCTTACCGAGTGAGGGAAAATGTGCCTGTGAGGGCACCCCAGTGCGACTGGCCCCAGAAGTCTCTGTGGCCTCCCCACTCCTGTTCTGCATGGCGGAGCAGAGCAGGACAGTCCAGAGGCCCCTGGCCAGGGTCCCTTTGCTGTGCTTATGGTGAGACCCCATGAGAACCAGGTGTGATGGGCAAATGGCACATTTGGTGCCTCTCAGGGGGCTTGGCCTGCGACCCAGATGAAGGAGTCTTGATGTGTATGTGCTGACATCCTCCTCTGTCGCTGAGCGCGCGGCTCAAAATGGGGACATATTCAAAACCTTATTCCTATTCTTACGAGACAGCTCTTTCTTCATAGTCTCTTTTATGTGGTATCTGGTTTCCATCCCTTGAAGAATTCCCCCAGTAGAGGAAGCCAGCCATTGAGATTCCAGGGTTTTTTATAACCACAGTTGAGTTGCCATTAAATTTAAAATGGATTAATCAGCTGACTCCAGAATGCATTTTAGATGTCATAGGGCAGTGCTGGAGACCTTCCAGGGTCTGGCCTCAAAAGCTGCCTCTCAGCTCCACAGTGAAGGGACCGTGTCACGTCCATTCATTGCTCCGCGTTCACGCTTCCATCCATCAGAGTCCTGTTCATTCCTTCTTCATCCAGGTCTAGGCTCACCAGACGTTCAGTGAACACCTGCTAAGGCCCCCGGTCCTGGTTCAGGGGACTCTGATGAGCAAGGGCCATGAGAACAGGTCGCGCAATCAGGAAGGACCAGGTTTGATTCTGGGCACCGCCACTTCCTTTCATTGTGACCCTCAGGCTAGTTACTTAACCTCTCTGGTCCTGTTCCCTCCTGTGTAGGCCGAGTCTAGGAGACATCCGCCTCCCAGGAGGGGAACGAGAATTAAACAGGATGGCGCGATGGTGTTTGTAAAACCCTGGTCCTTGCTCGGGAAATGACACCCACCTCCGTGCCTTCCAGTTACCCCTTTGCGGTACCAGTTCAGGTGACATCGCCCAATGTCAGGTCGTCTTGCTCCCGGCCTGTGTGCCCCTTTGTTCGCACCTCTTTAAGTTGTAGGCCAGTCACGGTCACTTGGGGATTGGAAGGTTCCTGAGAGAATGTACGGGCCCCCCCTTCCCCTTCTAGAATCATCTGCGAGGGCTCCTAGGTGGGCAGTCAACCGTGGCTTAAACACCCTCAGGAGCTGGTGGCCGAGGGCCGCCTGGTGGCCCATTCTCCTGGCTGTCTGGTGCAGTAGCCACCTGAGACGTGGCTTGCCCATCAGGAGAGCTGTAAGTGTGACGTGTTCCAGATTTCAAAGACTTAATAGAAAAAAAAGTAAAATAAATATTCATCAGTTTCTTTATATTGATTACACATTGAAAATTGTACTTTTGACAGGTTAACTCAAATATATTAAAATGAATTTCACTTGATATATGTCTTTTAATGCGGCTAGAAAATTTTAAATTGCACACGTCGCTGACGTCCTGTCCTGGACAGCGCCTGGTTAGTTGTGTGTGCGTTGGGCTGAAGTCTGCCTGCTGGTTGCAGGGGGCTGCTTTTTACTCCAGCATTTGGTTCAAAGTTGAAGGCATTAGTGAAAATAGCTGATCGTCAAAATCTCCTTTGAGAATTCCTCGAATCGCCCAATAAAGTGTGGCATACGAGGTGGGTTTAATAACCGGGCCCAGGATGTGTTTGCATGTAAATGCCTGGTGTTCACGGTGGTGCTCAGGATGTGACAAGAGCGTGCGGCTGAGTGGGGTGCCCTGGGGTGCTCTGCAATGCTGGAGCGGGGCCCCTGTCCTCCCTCTGGCCCCGAGTGTAGTTCGCGTAAATTATGGCTTCTGTCTTACACCCAATGGTCCTTGCTCTGAGGCCGCTCAAAACGAGTTTGCTCCTCCGTCCTCACGAAGACAGGCGTCTTGGCTTAGGCCTTCACTCACCTGGTCCCTAGTGTGGTCTGGAGCCTTGGGTCAGGAAGGAGGGCTTTTGAGTCTGACACCAGAGCTGGTTTGCCAGGTCCCTCGGTCCCCTAACCTCTGTGAGCAGAGGAGGCAGTGGCCTCAGTTCTCCGGAAGCTGGCCTCCTCCTCTGGACAGGTATATGTCTGCAGGACTCAGGAATCGGGCCCGATTCACCCATGCGTCCTCCCGGCTGCACACCTGGGCTGGGTGCACAGCGGCCACGCAGGACCCTTGGCTCAGGCCGTGTCGTTTCGGGAGCTCGCACCCTGACGCTTGCCCTCGGGGTCTCTGCAGAGCAAACTTGGTGGACCTCCAGAAGAAGCTAGAAGAGCTAGAGCTTGACGAGCAGCAGAAGAAGCGGCTGGAAGCCTTCCTCACCCAGAAGGCCAAGGTCGGGGAGCTCAAGGACGATGACTTCGAAAGGATCTCGGAGCTGGGAGCCGGGAACGGCGGAGTGGTCACCAAGGTCCAGCACAGACCTTCTGGTCTCATCATGGCAAGAAAGGTGAGAGGCGGCGGGCGGTGCAGGCAGGGTTCCCTGGAAACGAGAGGTGAGTTTGATGGGTGCCGGCCCCCGCCTCCCGTCAGCTGCAGGTTCTTGGTCCTGAGAAAGAGCCTGGCTTCTAGTTAGAGCACAGCCGTGCCGACTTGCCTCACACAGCTCTTCCGTCACGGACTTCTGCCTTTGGGGACGGCTTAAATTCAGATTCCCAGCAAGCGAGTGGAGCTTTCTGGAAGAAAGGGTGTCAGTCCCCTTGGAGCCGATCACCCTGATTTCACAACCAGGACAGGGCATTACAGACCGAGACAGGGCCTCTGCTAAGGAGGTCACATTGGGGACCCCTGGGCCGGGGGTGAGCAAACCATCTGCATTAGCCAGAGTTCTCCAGAGAAGCAGAAACGTGGGGGCAGGGGTGTGTAGAGGTGTCTGAAGGAATTGGCCCGTGCCATCACGCCAGGTCTGACATTTGCAGGGCAGTGGGCAGGCTGGAGCCCCGGGGAGAGCCGTGGGGAGAGCCGGTGCGGCAGCTGGGGTCCCAAGGCCGTGTGGAGGCGGGGCTCCCTCTCCGGGGCCTCAGCCTTTCCCCTTAGGGCCTTCAACTCACAGAGCACTGTCTTTTCTCATTCAGACAATTTCCATGTTAAATCACATCTACAAAATACCTTGACCGTGACGTCTAGACTGGTGTTTGGGCACCGGCTGTGGCCTAGCCAGGTCAGCCATCTTCGACCCTCCATGCCCAGCCTGGCTCTGGGAAGGCTGAGCGTCCCTCGTCTGGGCTCTGTCCCGTGCAGCCTCCTGCTAACCGTGTGGGAGTGACCCTTGGGAGGTGTAGGGAGCGGAGAAGAGAAGGATGCGACCACCTGGGACAGTGGCTCCTAAACACATAATCGGGCGGGTGGGGGACTTCGTGTTGACAGATCGTTTAGCTCACATAGTCGTGTTCTTTCAGGCATGGAAAGCTGCCTCTTCCTGGAAGCCCACCGTCCTGTCATTCCCCAATTGTATTCTTGGAAGCCCAACCACCTTGGGCCGGGCGAGTTGGTGCAGGTCCCGCCTTTCCTGGGACCAACACGCTTGCTTCCCGTTGGGGTTTGGCTGTGTGGCCGTTTCTCCTGCCCACCCTCCTGAAGCCTACCTCTGTCCCTTCCGCAGGCCGCTTTTAAAAACCAGAGCAGGCCTGGAGTCTCTGGTCCGCTGTCGCCTGAAGCTCGCAGAACGGAAAGGCAGATGTGAGGTTCAGACAGTGACCAGGGGCTTGAGGATAGTACTGGGCAGAGTTTGTGTCAGGGACCCAGGGTTCTCTCGGGCCACCCGAGGACTTCCGGTGGCACCTGTGAGAGCGTGAATCTGGGAGTTCGCTCACAGATTTAGGATGTGAAGTGGGACTTAGGAATTTAAAATGGGGGACGGTCTATGGCCATGCCACCCTGAACATGCCCGATCCCGTCTGATCTTGGAAGCTAAGCAGGGTTGGGCCTGGTTAGCACTTGGATGGGAAGCCACTTAGAAAGACCAGGTGCTGTTGGCGTAAGTAAATTAATGAATTAATAACAATAATGATAAAACGGGAGACAGATAGTTCCATAGTTAGCGGTGCTGCTGTGCGAAGCGTTTCCTGATATGGCCCTTCAGTCATAGAAGATGTCACTGTCGGGGGAAGCTGGGCGAGGGGTACACCGGATTCTTTGCTTTTTTGCAACTTCCTCGTGCTTCTATAATTCTTTCAAAATGTAAGGTTTTTATTAAAAAAGAAGTTCCAGAAAATGGGCGTGTAGATCGTAACGTCCTCCCAGAAGGGCATGGGCGCCCATGGGCAGGTGGCGAGTACGCTGAAGGAGAAGGCTGCCTGCCTGGGCGTTGTGTCGTCTGCCACCGTGACTTCCTGGACTGGTCTGTGGGGATCAAGGGCTCCTTAAGCCACCTGGAATGCCAGTCCACCCGGGTGGCCCATTGTCTTTATTCAGCCAAGGGCACAGATGTGGGTGTTGACCAGACAAAGCAGTTTTAAGAAACAGTGGCCTGAATCCTCCCTCTACACCCCGGGTGGCATTCCAGATTCCCTGGGGACCCCGTAGGACTCTTGCGCCTTCGAGTGTATAAGACCGTCCGTCCCCACAGGTGTGAGGGTGAGGGCTGGCATTTGTCTGGTCCCTGTGGTCGGCTGGCAGAGGCTCATCCTACCCAGCAGGACATGCTGGGGGGGCCACAAGACCAGTTCACGAGGCCCGAGGAAACCGGTCTCGATTTGCGTGCTCATGCGTGTTCGTAAGCATGTTCTTGACTCAGCATGGCTCTCCGACGACCCCCGCATCTTTCTGAGGCCCTTGGAACCAAACATCTGTGTGAGTCGGGCCAGGGAGACCTGCAGAGAACTTAGCGTGTGTGTGACGCACGCGAGGCATCCTCGACCCCCTGTGCCCTGCCTCTTTGGAGGTCGTGTGGCCCGCCCAAGGCCACATAGTGATACTAGCTGCCATCTTTCAAGGGCCCCGTGTCAAGGCCAGTTCTAAGACTTTGACACGTATTCTCATTTACATAGAGTGACAGCTCCATTTTGCAGATGAGGAAACTGAGGCTGTGTTAGGTCTTGTCTGGACGGGTTTGTGGTTGACCCTGACCCGGTGGAAGCTGCCGGGGCTTTGTCTCCAGAATCC